AACTCCCGTGGAAGAGCAGCCAGCACTGCAGCGGTCGGTAAATGCCGCTGAAACACATTAATAAACAATGAACCACGGCACTCTGGAGAAAAGTATAAGGTTGGAGAAGTCGTTATTTAATTTAATCTGGCTTCGTATGATTAAAAGCAACACGATCATCGACCCGACGCAGTCCCCCCCCCCCGTTGTTGTTGTGAGCTCCGTTGGGGAGAAAATCAGCGATGTAAACGGTGACGTCATGACGCAGCAGCGGCAGCTGGGCGGTGTGAACAGAGCGGGAGCTGAAAAGGGAAACCGGAGCTGAACCAGAAAAGCTCTAGCTAGGAGCTAGAAAGGGAAAAGCGCTGGTGTGAAAGCCGCATCAGAGGGGGTAGGTACTAAATGCCAGCCATTTACATGTAGGCAAACAAAGTCAAAAATCAACATACAGTAGGGGGGTGGGGGATGGTGAACGGTATGGTCAATGTTTGTAAACACAATCCCCAGGATGTGTCCTAATCGAACCAAAATAGAAAATGCAGATATTACACTCAGACATCTGAAAAGTCTATGTTAAAAAGCCTCAGTCACCTTAATTAATGTAATAAAAACATCTCAGGTCAGTAACACTGAAAGCTAAATGTGCAATACCATGTTCAGCTATGTTACTATTTATAATGTTATTGTTGTTACAACAGAAGATGTTTTTCTTTATATTGAAGTTAAATGCATCAATCTGGTGCACTTTGAGGTCAAAATTAAGAGATTTATGGATACCGCTGGAAAAAGCTGCAGTACATATGCCGGAGCCTGTACGTAGCGCTGTAACTTCCTCCACAAAAGCAGCCTTCTGTTTATTCAACGTGGTGGGGGCCGAGGGAACCGGGCAGAGTTTTTCGCCGGTCAACGTGTGTGAAAGTTTAAATCTTCCTTATTGAGCTTTAAAACAAATGAATAACAACTATATATAATAATAAAATAAACACCGGCTGTTGTTATGCCTGCTGTAACGTTAAATTACTCCGTTCTCCGCTTGTAATTATGCCGTTACAAGCTTCATAGTTGTATTTATCATCTAAATTTGCCGAAACAAGTTTAATATTCTGAAAGCCAAGACTTTGTTTATTTGAAATCAGATGAAAACAAACTGTAACGGACCCTGCCGTGTTATCTATGATTACTATATGCCTTACTGTACATTCATAATTTCAGCCGGAGGGAGGGGGGCGGCGCTGCGGAAGAGCAGATTGCGAGTGAGAGGTGCCTGTCATCTTCCCTTTACAAGCTTCACAAATGTATTTATCGTGTGATTTTGGAAATAAAAGTTTCATATTCTTTGTTTATTTAAAATCAAACAAAACACCCGAACCCCGAAAAAATAGTTTTTTACGCAAATCCACGTTTATTTTTAAATGAGCCGTTGCGACTTCCGACTGATTTCGATAGAGCGGGTCACATATATTATTACTGACTTAAATGAAGGTACAGTTGATCGTAAAGTGTTTTCACATACGTGGGTAGCTATGACGTCAGAAGGAGTTACCGTAAATGAGAACTGCCGTAAAAGTGTTTCTAGGATTTCTAAACGAACTATTACAGCTGTTATAAAGCATTAAATAAAAAGTCATGAAAGAGATAAGGAGGAGAAAAGGTTTAAGGAAGTAAGCAATGAATACAAAATGTCGAAATCCTCTGTTTCACGCAATGTCGAACATTGAAGACAGAGGACGGCGGTCCCCCAATCTACACAGCGGGAGAAAGAAGAGCATTTAAAGCAGATCGGAGGAGACATCACGATCTTCCCACATTAGGGCAATTCACCTATACTTAACCCCAAATAAAAGAACCCAATAAAAACAGTTGTTAAATAATAGTGAAGTCACGTTGTAATAACAATAACTCATCTCTCGGTTTGAGTGTTCTTTTTCTGCTTTGCCAAAAGCCACTGTGTCAAGCAGAGGTGGGACCAAGTCATTGTTTTGCAAGTCCGAGTCAAGTCTCAAGTCTTTGCGCTCAAGTCCGAGTCAAGTCTCAAGTCTTTGCGCTCAAGTCCAAGTCAAGTCTCAAGTCAGGATGGGCAAGTTCAAGTCAAGTCCAAGTCCTAAACTTTGACAAAACGAGTCTTAAACAAGTCCTTATGTGCTTTTCAACAAATGTAATGACATCGATCAACAGAATAATACTTAATAATCAAACTGCTCTTTATTAGTCACATTAATAATTTAATAATCCATTTTCTCTCTGCTGGTAAAGTAACATGTTTTTTTCTATTTTAAGAGGGATCAGTAAGGTTAGGCTACCGTGACTAGAGATGTCCCGATCCGATCACGTGATCGGGGATCGGAGCCGATCACGTGATTTTCAAAAGATCGGAATCAGGAGAAAAGAATCGGGGATCGGATTTCTTTTTTTTTTTTTTAATAATTTTTTTAAATTATTTGATTTAATGTTACAAAACAAAAATGACGATGTTCACATCTTAAAGTCATCCTGAGGCCTTAGTTTTGGTTTAAAATTACACAACATCATGTATGTGTTGCTTCTTTTGGGCTTGTTTTCATAGACCTGGTTGCTTATTTCTCTCAAATCTGGCAACAGAGTGGGCAAGGCGCAGTGTCTAATAGTAGCAGTAAGCTAACAAGAGGCTACGTTCAGCTGGTGCCTCGGGAGTCGGGACAGAGAAAATGTCAGGAGTTTGGAAGTATTATAAAATTGAAAGTGAAGGCAGTGTAACAGCCAGATGCAATGTTTGCAAGGCGGAGGTTCCGCGTGGTGGAAAGAACAGAGCTACGTTCAACACAACCAATCTAATACAAACACCAACAACAACACGACGAGTACACAGCGGCCACTCAGGTAACGGCACTGAAACAACCGACACTTTCAGAGACTTTTAAAAGGAAAGAGAAACTGCCCCAGAACAGTGAAAAGGCCAAAAAAATAACAGCCAAGATAGCTGAATTCATCGCGTTGGATGACCAGCCGTTATCTGTTACCTTTTTTTTTCGTCTCTATGGGGGAAAAGAACACCTGAATCTAGATCCCTCTGCAGGTGGTACTTTAACTATATTTTGATGATAATACTTTTCTACTTTTACTTGTAACATTTTGAATGCAGGACTTTTTATTGTAACCGAGTATTCCTACACTCTGGTACTCAAGTACAAGATCTGAACTTCTCCCACCTCTGACAATAAATCCTGAGTGGTTACCAAAAAAACTTTCTCCAATATCATTGAAAATGCAGCCAGATGCTGCTTCTTTTTTCGGTTTTCGCTCATTTCTTGAGTTTTTCCGACGCGCTTGCATTTAAATCCGGCTCCCCGTCTCCCCGTCGCTCTGTGTATCTGGCCTGTACCACTACACTTGCTGTCTTTGGAGCGTCTGCCCCCCACCCTTCTTTCACATAATGGTATGATCCTAGTGTGTCCTCGCATATGATTGGCCGCATGGTGGCTCAGCAAAATAAAGTCCCGCCCCTGCCTGCATGGATTCTCAGCAAGAGTTGGAGCGGCTGAAGATTCTGCTCTCCCCGATGCGAGTCTGCTCTTCTGAACGGCAGCTCGCGATCGGCGTGTTGGAGACCTCTGAATTAAATTATCAAGTCACCTCAAGTCAGAAGGCTCAAGTCCAAGTCAAGTCCCGAGTCATTAGTGTTCAAGTCCAAGTCGAGTCGCAAGTGTTTTGTGATTTTGTCAAGTCCAAGTCATCAAATTGGTGACTCGAGTCTGAATCGAGTCCAAGTCATGTGACTCGAGTCCACACCTCTGGTGTCAAGTGTCTAGTGACTATTTCTCTTAGCGGATGCATGTCAATTTAAATCAATACGATACAACTATTTTTTAAATCAATAAAAATAAAAGCATTTCAATTAAGATTGGGAGTCATGTCGTTACTTTGTTGAGAATGTGGCCATGTAATAAGCGGGATAATTTGCAGCGACTTGGTCATTGTGGGGAAAAATAACACCCAGGGATCCTGATCGTTTTAATGAAGTTGAATACAGAATATTCATATTTGTCAGTGATTTCATGTCAATTCGGCGAACATAAACATAAATGATCGTGGTGAAGATGATGATTAAATTAGGATTAAAAATCGAGAGCCGGCTGCATTTCCTCTCGTTCGTTTTTTTCGACTAAACAACATTATTTTGTTAAATAACAACATGGTGATGTTTTGTAAATGATTACATGTCTTATTTAGCACAGACTATGATCCTATCCGTGACATATGGATCTTAACAAAGATCCGTTATACAGTAGTACCAGACATACTGTACATCCAGCTTACTGTATCGAAGTTGATTTCACATGAGCTCCAGTGTGGAACCCCACTGCACCCCCTGGTGGATCAATGATCCATTGCAGCTGGCTTCACAATAATTACATTTGTTTATCACGGGGGCGGTATCAAGTCAGACTGGGGGCAGGCTCTTCATCACAGACCTTTCACGAGCCGTTCACGGACCGTGCACGGGCCAACCACGACCCTCGCGTTTCAAACTGTCCTAAATAAGACGCTACATCTGTATAATACAAAACAAAACGTCTGCCTGCTCTCCACAATGATCAATAACAGCGAACGGATGGTCAAAGTAAGGCACAAATAAACAGAATCACAAGAAGCCTGGTTAGTGTTGCCTGACTTTATAAAGTGTGTTTTTTTTTTACAAGTGTGTGGTTGCGTTCTAGTCACTTTGCTCAGCACTACTGCTTGTTACAACTTTTATTTGCCGTACTCGCCTTTAACTGTTAGCTCAGGTTAATCTCACACCCCTCCGACATAAGCGTGACGTATGCGGTGCTTGCTTTCTAGACGGAGAACTTTTTGGTGCTCCAAACGAACTGGATTCCGGAGCTTAGAGGCGGCTCCGCTGCGGTGTGAACAGGAAAAAACTGTGCTTTTCAAGCTCCAGCTCCGAACCAGTCCTGGAACCGCGTTGGTGTGAAAGGGGTATAAGGGACAATTTGCTGTGGTGTGATTTTGCTATTAAAACTAAAATCATTAATGGTACATACCTGGACAAATCCAAAAGGGAAATCGAGGGCCGTCTGCCCTCCTGAGCCCTGATGAAACGCCATCCTCCAGTCATCAATCATAGCAGGGAAGGAACAGTTGTACTTCTCTTGATGATAAATGGTGTTATCCTCACCTAAGAGCAACACAAGGAGTATACAGTACATGCAGGACATACATGAAAATCAGAAACCTTTGCAGCCCGTCCTACCTTGGTACCAGATGGCTCCTTTGATGGTCATGTTCAGCAGTGGGTGGATCATTGCATTCCACAACACTGAATTTACTTTGGGACTGAAATAATTGAAGGTGCAATAAAGAGTCAACCTTGTAGTTAGTTAATATACAACATTAAAGCACTACTTAATGTGTGTTTGGAAATCGATCGGTATGACAAAACATAATATGATGATATAATACTGTATCTATATCTTTATTGAATCCCTGAAACGTACCCATCATCAGGCTGCTGTAGTAGTCCACAGTGCTGTAGTGCTCTTGGAGAGGACCAGGCTTCGATAGGTGTGCCCCCCCAACAGGACTCCACCAGTCCTATGGGGTACTGCAGCTTATCATACAAATCACGCCCAAAGAGCCAGCACACTGCAGAGAATCCGGACAGATCTGGAAAAAATCATGCCTGTTAAGTAGTCAATCAGCAGAATGCAAAAAGGTGATAAAACGCACATAAACAAATACCAACATGGTTGATTACATCGCTGTGCTGCAACCAAACAAAACACTAGCTTGGACTCATGAACATGTGACTGAGTATGCATGTTTCTATTTCAAAGCATTTAAGACGGGTTCAGTTGCAGTTAAGTAACCCACCTGAACCTTTAATCTGCAAACACAGATTTAAACCATTTTATGAATAAAATAAATATCTTAAACCCACATAATGGCGGCACAGACCAGGGAATTTGGACGTGAATCCAATCAGTTTGCTCAGTTTTGCTCTGGGCCAGGGATGCCATAAAAGTCCTCACATGAGGATAATGTGCTGCATTCTTCAGCTCCTTTGATGCATTGAAGATCTATTGGAGAATAAATACAAAATGAATAAATATATACATATCAAACAGAATGTCCCATACATCTGGAATGCTTCATGGCCCTTATCTATTTGTGCAACCTTTTTTGTTGTAGTTTAGTTTTTTCTGACTTGTACTGCACATTTTTGAGAGATGGTCAGATCAGAAAGACACACAGGTGTTCACCTGGTTCGGCCTACCTGAGATAATTTCAACAACATGTTGCTCTGCCCTCCACACAGCCAAACGTCTCCAAACAGCACGTCTGTCAGAACAGCTGTGATGTTCTGCACGGCTGCTGTCACATTGTAGGGACCTCCAGCTTCAACAGGGTCTAGAGTGACCCGCCAGGTACCTGTAAAGACAGTCAGTGACACTTAGGGCTTTTCTAATGTCCCAATGTTGTGCATGCTGGGCTCCTCATTCCTCTGGCACTTGACCCGGAAATCTATCTCAGCAATCCATCTTGGATGAACCTCAATTTGTAAAATGCATCTCAAGGAGAGGGGAGTGAGGAGCTATGAGCGAGGATACACCAGTGAATCATCTAAAACCATGGACTCTAAAAATGTAAATCAACTGCATTTATAAAGTGCTTTTCCAGTCAGCATTAACACTCACTTATACTGAGGAAGAGGCTAAGATACAAGGTGCCACCTGCTCAGGGAGACTAACAATCACACACTGTTGGTGGACCCAATCAGGAGCAAAGTCCCACGGACACTTTGACATAGGGCTGTGCGATTATGGCAAAAATCATAATCACAATTATTTTGGTCAATAATTGATATCACGATTATTAAATACGATTATTCATTGACTTTGAAAACATCCATTTATTGAACTTTGAAATACAAATAATAATTTGAACAGTATCTTTTTAACTGTTTTCCCATAACGTATAATTAAACTGAAAAACCAATACAAAAATAAATGATACATTTATATCTACATTTAAATAAATAATATAAAAATAATAAATACCAATAAACAAGATCAACAAATATTTTGGAGAGCACTTCAACAAGCTACTAAACATGTATAAATATGATAAATACAAATAAATGTGATCAAATATGTTGCAGTGCAGTCACAACCTAGCAACGCAAAATAATCGTTTTTTTCGATTATGTTGTTTTCGTAATTGTGGCAGGCCAAAATCGTAATTGCGATTAAAATACGATTAATTGCACAGCCCTACTTTGACATGTTGCCTAGAGAAGCTGGGGATCAAACCACATTATTTAAAGTGGACCTATCATGCTATATTTGAATAATATAGTGTAGGACCATACCTATGTAAGGCATATTTATACTTTTTTTTTTTCAAAATACCAAACAGATCATGTATTTTAGCCATGCCTCATTTTGCTCAATTTGACATTTTTTAGCTCTGTTTTTGCAAGGGCAGATTCAGTGAGAACAGCACCATCTACAGGCCTGGCATATGTACTACAGCGAACGGCAATGGCCGTGGATGTCTCCTCCTGATTGGTGGAGTTGGCCCAATAGCCATAGCGCCACTGTCCTGACGTCAGGACAGTGTTCAAATCTGGATCAGTTTTTATCAGATCCGTTGCAGCCCCTTTTTTAGAGATTTGGGTATGGAGGAAAATAGAGAGGGTTGTGTTTTCTGACACTTGGTGAGTTCCCTGGAACACCGGGGACACATATTCATGTATAAAAGACGTACAAAAGTGCATTTTGCATGAAAGGTCCCCTTTAAGATGACCAAATGCACATTCAAACTTTCTGAGCTTCAACGTTTGTTTAGCGCCTCACAAGGCACTGTTATCGTTTAATGAAGACCAAGGGTTACATCCAAGTCAAAGGTTACAATCGAGACATCATTTTAAAAGTGCAAATAGCCGAGAGAGAGAGAGAGAGAGAGAGAGAGAGAGAGAGAGAGAGAGAGAGAGAGAGAGAGAGAGAGGGGGGGGAGAGAGAGAGATGAGTGATGGGTAGGCAGATAGAGAGTGAGAGAGACTATATAGATATGATATCCTAGATCTCTATCGATAGCTCTTTCTTTTTACACTGAAATCTTTCCAAACTGGTTCTCCTGTCATGCTTCCCTCAGCTGACTTTGCTTTGGCCCCTTCAACACTACCCTTGTCTGATCACATTCATCTATCTACTCACCATATTGATAGTTTCAATTAACCTTAGTCTAATACTTTTATTATTGTAAGTAAATCCCTTACATGGACTCCCTCCTTGTCATGTAACCTCAGCCAGTTTTTGACAGAGACCAAATTATTATATGAAAGATGTTACCTTTCGACTCTTATTATATTAGAGCAACATCCCCTCCTTTAAACACCTGTTATTATTTCAACTACTTCAAAACTTCTACTATATCAGGTCACAACCTAACTGTCTGAAAAGTGGTTACAGCTCTGAGCATGCAGTCTCTTTCACATCACTCCCCAACAGGATCAATCAGTTCAACCTGTTTGGTAGCCTTTGGTTGTCAGCATAAAAACATCAGATCGGAAATAAAATGCTTTTACTCACCGTTTGTCACTGTGGCCTGCGAGATTTTCTGTTGGTGTTGTCCTGACAAGGTGAATTTCACCTGTGCCCCCTCGGATCCATAGCCCCAAACTACAGCTCTCTCTGGAGACTTCTGCAGCACCATGTGGTCTTTATAGTAGGAAGCGAAGCGCAGGACCCCATCTACACACATACACATTAATATGCGAGTGTAGAAACATTAAAATAACAATACATAAAGAAGGGATTTTGGAGATAGTGTAAGTAAGTGCAAATATGCCTTTTTGTTTCTGTTTTAAAATAATAACGCAGTAACATTTTGACACGGCAAGAAGTTGTAGTAGGCTACAGGTTAATGCTGACCAAACGATACTCACCACAGTCGTGAATAGAAGCTGCAACCAGTATAAAAACACCACAAAGTCTTATCGCCATGACAAGATGATATCCAGGTTAACCAAAAGCTGCAAAGTCACGCAGACTGAGTTTACGTGATGAAGTATCAAACAGTAAACTAACTCGTGACTTATCCAAACGAGTTTAGCGAGTCTTTTCAGTATGTCTGTTACATTCGTAAACAATATAGTGTAGCGCACTGCGGCCCTTCAAAATAAAAGCACACAAGCTCAAAAGTGCCAACCTTTTAATCCATTTTAAAAGTCTGTCTCACAACATCACAAACAAGCCTATAATCAGGGGTGCACATAACTGGTACGCAGGTACGCATGCGCGGCAACAATCTGAAATGCGTAACGTCACTTGTGTCACAACGCGCCTTTGCGTACCTGATAGGTCATCAAAACAAAAACACATATTTCGTCTATACGTGTTTCTTGTCAACACTCAGTGGAGTAAATTATTAGACATGTCCAAAAAAAACAAAGACATTAAGCAGCCACTTTGCCGTTTCGCTCCCTGCAAAAATCTTCGGACTTTCTATGACTGATTGAACTGGGTGCTGGCTGTGCCGCGCAGGACATAACCGACGGACCTGTGAAGCTTCACAGGAGAAAGAGGCTTAGATCACTGGACGACAGAGTTGGTCGCCGTGTGCACAGACGGGGCTGCTGTTAACGTCAGTGTGTAGGCCTACAACAGAATTGTACCAAAACTACATCAACTGGCTGCAGTGGGAGACTCCCCTGTGCACATTCTGTGCCCCGCGCACACACTGGAGAACTGCGCAAAATCAGCTGATCACAACGGTCACGCTCTGTGGTCAAGCTGCTGCAGTTAAAACACACAGCTGCCTGCAAACTTACTCAGGCTGTTAATGGAAGAGTTTGAAATCAGACAGGGTTAGGTGGATGAAGTGTTACTCAAGTAAAATTAGAAAAGTATTATCATCAACACCTAGTTAAAGTAGCGACAGTAAAAGTAGTCATTTTGCAGATTGGTCCATTTCATAATAATGTATATGATATGTTTTATAATTATTGATCATTAAAGTGTTTAAAAATGAGTTTGAATGACTTTGTATACTGCAGGGTAGCTTGTGAATTTACTCCAGGTGGAACTAAAGTCTGATTTAAGACTTGATTATATTTCACATCATTCATCCAGATCTGTGAAGTAACTAAAATGTATTAACTACATGTAGTGGAGGAAAAGTACATGATTTACCTCTGAACTGTAGTGGAGTAGAAGTACAAAGTAGCATAAAGTGTACCTAAGTACAGTACTTGAATAAATGTACTTTGTTACTTCCCTCCTCTGAAATCAGATATGACTACAAGTCATGTGATAATTTCTTAATATTTGATCCTTCAACTTGGCCTCAGGAAATGCAAGGACTTCACAGTTTTGGCAACAAGTTTTGGAGAAAGCAAATCGGAGGCTTAAAAAGAGACAGGGAGGTGCATCTTCATCATCTAGCATGCAAGAAGTGTAAATAGAGGATAGTGAAGGAGACACTGAGGAGGACAGTGAGGAAGACTGCACTTATTAAAACCACGCTTCATGTGGGGTGAGTACCAAACGCTGTCTCCTGGTACTCATCTGAGTAACTCACTAAAAAAGTTATGTGCACCCCTGCCTATAATGACTGTTTGCAGTTGTTGTGTAGCCTGCTATATTTATAAAAGCAGCCGTTGGTCTGATTTAGGTTGCAGTGAGATAAGTAACCTTCAAGGTGATCCCTCCGCTTCGCGTCGGGCTCCCAGACATTAAACGGCAAAACATATTCAGTTGCCAGTTACTTTGGCATTATGGCAGGGATATCTACAGTACTATGGAGGGGACTCTGACAGAGGATTACTCACAAAGTACTCGGTAAAAGTACTTCATTTTATTTCTGGTAGCAGTCAAATTAGTACCGAGTCCAACAGTGTCAGTTTTATTAAGAACTTATGATAACAAATATTTGTATCGATCATCAAATATAGCAGGACAAAAAATGAAGAGCAGCTGAATTGAAAAAAGAGAGACGGCTGAGGTGACTGCAGTGCAGAATCGCTGTATAGTTTAAATCTCCTAACAATGTTGTCCATTTTAGACAAAGGCTTATTATATTTACAGCCCTTAATAACATTCATTTTCTGGGCTCAATATGTGTCTTGACCGTTTTCGTTGTGATCGCTAAATTCCCCTTGTTTATAATAATCACCGTTCCTTCAGCAGGATGTGAAGTGTGATTTTAGCAAACGAGTGCTTTTGTTTTGAAATCACTTCCGTGAGTTTCGCCCAAGGACCATTTTGACCATTTAGTAAGGTATAAAGCAAAAAGCAAAAACGCCTCTCAGACGCTCTTCCGTTTACTTGTTTAATAAAGAAAAACAATTGGACGGTAGATACACGGATTATGTAGTTACAATGATTATTAGAGTCAACCCATTTTCCAACATTTTTCCCTAATGCAAGATATTACTATTGTATTTCTTGGTAACGTGTAAACCATGACAATGAGTCAAGTGTTGCCTCTTGACAACTTACCTTATCCTATGTTTACAGTAAGTTATAGTTCACATTTTGTTTCCATTTGAAACACAATAGAGTATTTCCATGTGTTTTACTTTGAGACAAAACGCCGGCATTGAATGAAGCACACCCAGACAAAGTAAGTTGTTGATTTGACATTTATTAGTGGAACATTCTTTTGTTAAAATAAAATAAAATGTGACAGAATTTCCAAACTTTCCAACTAAATCATTGCATAGCATCATTAGTGTAATGGTTTTAATCTCTATTCTGATACGGAGTAAATACTGCCCTCTCTGAGAATAATCAATTTACTCATACCCACCCAAATGAAATATCTAATTGTATTATCAATCCAAACTAGAATCCAAACAATCAACAGAAACTGACAATGAAGTACAGCAACTTATTTCCTCTAAATGCTTTCACTGCCTTTAGTGTTACATCAATCCAAACAAGGAAAACACTAAAACAAAATGACCAAATGAAATGAAAACATCTTTCTTTCATTCCCTTTAAATAGGTGAAAACAACATTAGCTGAGTTTGACTTAGTTACAATCACCTGGTACATTTTGTTGACAGCTCCTCCTTACTTTCCATCATCCTTTGGCTGGAGGTTGGTGGAAATAAAAGGAGGAGCAGGTAAAATCTAACTGGCGCTGTAGATTGGACAGGCTTTAAAGTCACAGGGCCAGTCTCTCCATGCATACCGCAGAGCAGCTACTTGTTCAGTGGGAGAACACAAGCTGGTAGATAACTGGACAGTGGTCGGACCCCACTGCATGATGGGAGCTGGAACCCAATGAGCCTGAGGATCCCATGGAGACTCACTCTCTGAGCAACAGATCTTAAAAAGTGAACATTTATTTATTTAGCAATTATCGGACCAAACATCAGCCTTATATAATGAGCTATTATTTGTTAGCATATTAAATAAAGCCAGCAGTGAATATCGGACATAACAGACTGTGCCGCTGCCAGCCTTACCTCAAAGATGTTTTCAGACGGAGTGACAGAGACTTCTTGGTCGTAGGTAACCTCGAGATACTTTGGAGTGGACAGGATTTGGTTTGGGAAAGGTCCACGAAAGGCCACGTCCTGCTCACCATACGCCACTGCCCTTGCTCCCAATGACAGTCTGAAGGCTACGTCCTGCTTGTCTCGGGGATGGATCCTAAAACAAAAAAAATAACATCATGGGTGAAACCGCTATGAACACGTGTGACCTTATTCCTCATATTCAAACTCTTTAAATTGCCAAACGTATATTATTATTATTATTATTATTATTATTATTTTGAATTATATCTAAAAGGTCAAACCCGATGATGTTTAAAAATAGCATTGAACTTTTTCACCTCTTTTCTTTAGAGATACATTTAAATGTAATTCTTGTCAATATCTTCCTGAGGGAGATGCACAGGCCTTGATGAATAAAAGGGATTATTACATGGTTTAGTTGAACACTCGATTCTGATTGGTCAATTCAGAACACGTGACATGTTGTTAATCCAGTAGTACAGACCGCTGTCAAGGATTTATTGACCGTTGTTAAGGACGCTCACATCTGGCGAAAGAAGTCCGGTCGATTTAACTGTATACAGTTTGCATGTTTGCATGCAGTTTGCTTTTCAAACTGTTTGTTTGTCTTTAGTTTTCCGTTGGCTACCGTCTAAGAGAGACATGGAGGATTTTAATATTCATTTTTATATATTTGGAGAGCACAGTAGGGTTCTATGAATTCATGCTCTGAATTCATGCTGATCAAGGGTTCTCTGATTCATGCTGATCAAGTTCCCTCTGCTTCGCGTCAGGCTCCCGATCAGCCTGTCGGGTGTTCTTTTACCCATAATGACCGCCTCGCTGCACATTATCCCTTACATGTTTTACATATTGTAAAGCTTATCAGTGCAAAAAAACAGCTACATGAAAGAGTTGTTGTTTATGTGTTTCCATTAGCAAATCAACAATCTATGCAAATCATACAAAGGTATCTCCAAATACTTGTATAAGCAAAATAATGCTCCCTTGTGTTGTACAGGTTCATATTCTACAAGTTCATGTTAAGACATTTGTTACGGGTAATAGGGAGATCTTTCATCTGGTAAATCCATAGCCACAGCCATAAAAGTGTTCTGCATCCGGGGATTTGGGACAAAGCCGGTATCTGCTGTCTGGTGCCAGCGGATATTCGGAAAGGCGTCACTTTTGGATTTTTTGTTCCAGGTACTCAGCTGGAAGTGCAAATAAATCATGGATTAGTGTTACCCCTGAAACTATAAAACGCCAGGTTTTTTATTTTATTTAACAAAAACAAAGGCAAATAAACAATGTTTCCCTCAGTATTCATTCAGCAGTAAAGTACTCCTGCGAGTCCATGAACATGACAAGTGTCTGTGGTTACTTCACTTTTATGGGCGCCGCTACTCAAATGTCACAGTATCATAATATCCATTGAAAAAAAATGCCGGACACACGTCATACACACAAAGTGGAGCTGAGCAGAAACAGACACCCATAATGCGCCATTGTTACCGGACACCTCCTCCTTAGAGCAAATAATTGGGCAGTTTGATGTTTGTAGAGGTGTATGTGGTTAAAGTGGTGGCAGCCTGCAGTCTCTCTTTAGCTGATCTAATGAAGGTAAACGTAGGTATGGCGGTGCATAAAAGGCACTGGGCGCTGGTGCTGTACTTCTCGGAGGCTGCTGTGTTATTAGTCCCGCTAGCTCCTGTGTTATTAGTCCCGCTAGCTCCTGATGCTGCAGCGAGTTCATTAAGTGAATGAGGTTTTCTTTCTATAAAACTGCTGTGGGCAGCAGGCACTGAGAGTCACTGACATGAATTCATAGATCAAGGCAGACTGGTTTACAGACTCTCCTAATTTGCCGATCCGATGCTTAAACAAATAGCTGTACACCCCCAGCCGAAATGTCCTTAAAATGAAGTCAGAGTTCGGAATAAAATTCCAATAATGTACAGTATGTACTGCTGTCATTTCCAAACATAACATTTTGCAATTAAATGGCGATCTCCTGTGTGCTACTTCCTTTTCACCGGAAACGTTCTCATGGTAACGAGAAAGTAAGGCCCCGGCCACACGAGGACGATAACGGTCGTATCTGCTACAGTTCACTATCAGATAAACGAGGCCGACATGGAAACGCAGAAAACGATAACTATAACGATAACGGGTCCCAAGGTGGGTAGATCTGCAAACGAAACGCTCTGGGGGGGGCAAACAGCTCTGTGTTTATGCCTCTACGATCATTTCCTGATAACGTTGAAGCAATAGCCCCGCCTCTGCCCACCTCTCCTGCTCAGAGATCAGCTGCTGGGCTGTCAGAAGAGGGGGAGGAAAAGAGAGGCTCCGTTTTTTATTCTTATATTATTATATAGAGTCGTTATCAATTTGTTTAAAGCTCAATAAATAACAAAGAAGACCTTTGACCGGCACTTTTCAAATTTTGTCCGGAAGATTTAAACTTTAACGGACATGTTGACCGGCGAAAAAAAATCTAACTGAAACTCTGCCGCACGGTCCCCTCGTCCCTTGGAAGAGGCGAAGAGGTGGGTGTTTTTCATCTGCTGGTGGACTACCGGAGAGATTTACAGCAGGAGCAAACGCTTGCCTCGGGGAGGGAGAAAAAAAGCCAGAGCGTCCACAGCGGAGAATAAACAGAAGGGCAACAATGGCAACCAAGCGCGGGAAGTCTTCTTCGCTGCTTTTGTGGCAGGAGTACAGCGCCACTTACAGGCCTGGCATATGTACTACAGCGTCTCCAGCGCTTTCGAGCGGTCTCGTGTGAACAGACACGTTTCTGGTGCCTGTTGCGTGTGGATGGAAGACTTTTTTGATAATGATTGCGGTTATCTCCATAGTTTTTTTCTATTTGGGGGAAGGAATGAATACAAAATTAAACCAACTTTAACACATTTCGTTTTTCATTAAATAAGTGCTGGGCAGTGGATATTATGTATGTAAATGTTATAATTTGTGTGTGGATTTTGAAAACTGATTGATAAATATTTTGAAAGAATTATATTTTTTAAGTGATAAAGTAAAGACTAAAATATAGTGTGGTGTAATTGTGCTTTTTAAACTAAACTACTCAAACTAACATACCTGGACAAATCCAAAAGGGAAATCGGGAGCTGTCTGCCCGCCTGAGCCCTGATGAAACGCCATCCTCCAGTCATCAATCATAGCAGGGAAGGAACAGTTGTACTTCTTTTGATGATAGTTATAATTTGCCTCCCCTTAGAGACGCAACACGAACACAAAACTTTTAGATGCGTAACATATTGGTTATACTGAACTCCTGATACATGCAGCCCGTCCTACCTTGGTACCAGATGGCTCCTTTGATGGTCATGTTGAGCAGTGGGTGGATCATTGCATTCCACAAGACTGAATTCTCTTGAGGATTGCGATAATGTTTTCTAAAAGTAATAACAATTTGGTTGAGAGCAGGAGAAAAATGTATTACACTTGCATTAGAAGATTGTGTAAAATGTTCAAATGAGAAAATGCAATGATGTTAGTTTTTGAGTTTAATGTTTCTTGTTTATTTTCAAGTATTTTCTCTTTTTGCTTGTTACGGTGGCCCTGAAGTGCAAGACACCACAGCATTTCACAAAACACTACAGCATTTCAGAAAACGCCACAGCATTTCAGAAAACACTACAGCATTTCACAAAACACCACAGCATTTCACAAAACGCCGCAGCATTTCACAAAACGCCGCAGCATTTCACAAAACGCCACAGCATTTCAGAAAACACTACAGCATTTCAGAAAACGCCACAGCATTTCAGAAAACACTACAGCATTTCACAAAACGCCGCAGCATTTCACAAAACGCCACAGCATTTCACAAAACACTACAGCATTTCAGAAAAAACGCCACAGCATTTCACAAAACACTACAGCATTTCACAAAACGCTGCAGCATTTCACAAAACACTACAGCATTTCAGAAAACACCACAGCATTTCAGAAAACACTACAGCATTTAAGAAAACGCCACATCCTTTCAGAAAACGCCACATTATTTCACATTGGACGGAAAGGGTATTCCTTTAGGGAGAACACTTCTTGTTTGTGATTGGACAGAGCCAGCCAGAGAAGCACTGCTGTGATTGGTTGTTTTTGCTGCCAGTCAAGAAATGACGCTTCGTGATTGGTCAGCACCGCAACATGTCCCAACACATCAGCCGTTAGATGTTAGCACACACTCAGAGCTCACAGCTCCTCATATCTGTTCAGAAACTGGACAAAAGTTAAACATGTACAAACCACAGACTGTCTATGTCATGGTGAATACAGTCGCTGCTTTATTTATGTCTGTATGACGTTGTTGTGAGTATGGACGGAGCAGCTACAGGTTAGTTTAGCCTGATCGATCCGATTCCATTCAGAAAACATGCATTTTAAAAGCTTTTCGCCTGCCGTCTAGTCTGCACACTTGTCAAAGCATTAATTCATGGTTTTTACTAACCGGTATCAGTATGTAGTTACTTCAGGCATCATTTTGAAACGTGTATTACAATTAAATCACGATAAAATATGTTCATTTTGTTGTAGTTGGTATATCCCATAGGATTTACATGGAGATACGCCCCGCCCCTTCTCCAGCGCGTCTTGTTTGAATGACAGGAGTAAACACAGCTGACAGCCGCGGTGAAACTCGAGCGATTAGAGCGATGCAAATATTGGGTAGTCTACCATAGTATTTACATGGAGATAAGCCCCTTAAAAACAATTTTGTTCGCATCGCTCTAATCGCTCGAGTTTCACTCCGGCTGTCAGCTGTGTTTACTCCTGTCATTCAAACAACACGCGCTGGAGAGGGGACGGGGCGTATCTCCATGTAAATGCTGAAATGCTGCAGTGTTTTCTGAAATGCTGTGGCGTTTTCTGAAATGCTGTTGTGTTTTCTGAAATGCTGTGGTGTTTTGTGAAATGCTGTTGTGTTTTCTGAAATGCTGTTGTGTTTTCTGAAATGTTGTGGTGTTTTGTGAAATGCTGTTGTGTTTTGTGAAATGCTGTTGTGTTTTGTGAAATGCTGTAGTGTTTTGTGTGCACTTCAGGGCCACCGTAGCTTGTCTTGTTTTATTTCCTGTCTTTGTATTTTTTCCTGCCTTAGAAATTGTTTGCCTAGAGAGATATAATACGAAGCCAGATTAGAGGGTTAGTGATGTATGTCGAGCCGGTTTTCCGTACTACGGAGGTGGCTGTCTTTTAACCTAGCTAAATAACCATGGCAACTTACGCTGCCCCGGACCAGGTTAGGTTGAGAGTTTAGGCTTGAATATGGCAAACACAGCTGTCCAAGTAGCTGTTTTGGAAAACCGTAACATTTACCCATAAGTTTTTATGTAATCAGAATAGTGGGATCCGCATTTAAATATATAAAAGTATATGACCCAATATCATAGCACTACGTTGGAAGGGCACTAGCACAAGGGCATATATCTTTGCAAAGGAAATAAAACATTGACTGGGTTAATATATGCGTGTAAACATTTAATTAAATATCAATGTGATTTGAGAATCAATACAGTAAATTATTCTGTACCTGCTCTTTGACTCATGTAGTAGTCCACACTGCTGCAGTGCTCTTGCAGAGGACCAGGCTTCGATAGGTGTGCCTCCCCAACTGGTCTCCACCAGTCCTATGGGGTACTGCAGCTTCTCAAACAAATTACGCCCAAAGAGCCAGCACACTGCAGAGAATCCTGCCAGATCTGGAAATACAATTGTATGTTACAGTTTTTCTCGATTGCTAACACACTAAAATTATACATAAAGCACAATTATTTTAACTGACACTCAAAGAGCAAAACATCGGCTCAAATCTCCAAAACTCTTAACACGTAGCTTTTCACACAATTTGCAAAACAACATGGCACTTTTTGCAAACCACTGCACACGTTTCTCCACGTAAGACACTGGAATCTGACATAAAGTCACGTGTTAGCACATACATAATACTGATATTCAAAATGCCTCACACATGGACCAATAATCAAGAAACACGTTCCACCTGACCAAACACCTGATAGCATAATTGTTGGCTCATCAATCAGGGTGTTAGCACTATAAAAATACCACAGGTGAGTATTTTCTTACAGCAACAATGGAAGCCAACATGGAAGCATGAGCAAGAGGAAGAGGAAGAGGAAGAGCTGGGCTGAGAGTGAGAGGAGGAGGAAGAGTACTCTCTAATGAAATGAAATGTTATCAACCATGGTTTGACGATGAGAGAGGCTGGAGAGAGGGTTCAGCCTAATCTAAGCCGATTTACTGTTGCCTCTGTAATCTGGACACTTAGAGTTGAAAACAGGTTACCAGTTTTTAGCTCAGCATAATTCATGATATATCAGTGCTTATATCTGTTGTGTAAAACGTATTTACTTCATTACTGTAATTGAATTGTTGGCATGTTGCATACTATAACTGTACAAAAATCCTGCACAATTTACTGTGATAAACTTACTTTTATGCAACACAGACACTGACCAACCACTATATCTGTGTTGTTTATCTGAAGGACTGAGAAAAAAAGAGGTGCAGGTGGAAAGCTAAGGATTTTCAATAGCCGCGTTCACACCGGAGTACTTTTCACCGTACTTTTCGCGTTTAGTTCCGTTAGTACCCCTTATGTCGCGTTCACACCCAAAAAGAGCACTTAATCTCGGGAACTTTTACCCCCATTTTTAGTGCCTGCTGCTGGGAGTCCCAGCAGCTTCTACTGAAGCCAGTCCCCAACTCCGGGGACTTCCGGCCAGGGACTCCGGGTGGCAGTATACGCCGTGAAGTTGTTTGCGGCCTGCCAGTAAACCCAAAGCAGAAGAAGACGAAGTGACGTCAGCGGCTCATTTGCGTAATCTTCCCTCAGGGAAAAGTACTCCGGTGTGAACGCGATCTGTACTAAATGCCCTGGGGTAATAAGTGCCGGGGCACTGAGTGCCGGCACTAAATACGGCAAAGTACTTGGTGTGAACGCGCCTAATTAGGCACAGGAAGCAGCAGTTACAAACTTGGTTTTGGCAAACAATGCATCACACACTTATGGCGCGTCTCCACTACAGCGCGGAGCACGGTTTAAGAGGGCTGTGACGTCAGCGGCCCGTTTTTGGTTGCGTTTCCACTTGGCCTAGTACCGTCCGGCGGGTCCTAATTCACAGTTTTTCTGGCCTCATAAAATCGTGGTTCTAGGGCCAGAGACAACGAGGCTGAGTCGGGCTGAGTATGCTAAACTAGAGAGAGAATCGCTGGCAAGGGGGCTACAACTACAACAAGATGGACATATTTGACCGTGATTTAATTGTAATACACGTTTCAAAATGATGCCGAAGTAACAACATACTGATACCGGTTAGTAAAAACCATGAATTAATGCTTTGACAAGTCTGCAGACAGACGGCAGGCGAAAAACCTTTTAAAATGCGTGTTTTCTAAATGGAGATTGGCTAAGCTAACGCAGTATATGCTCCGACCGTCCACACTCACAACAACGGCCTATACAGACATAAATAAACCAGCGACTGTATTCGCCATGACACAGACAGTCTGTGGTTTGTACTTGTTTAACTTTTGTCTAGTTTCTGAACAGATATGAGGAGCTGTGAGCTGTGAGTGCTAACAGCTAACGGCTGTGTTGTTTTTCTGGGGTTCTCATTGAAGATGACGTCACGGCTCCTCCTACACTGCGTTACTATAGATACTACCCCAGTTCCTAAACTGTAATGGAAATGCGCCATAAAGTGAGCCAGTCCTAATGAGGCCTAGCCATACCGAGCGAGGCCGAGCGAGGCCGTGTAGTGGAAATGCGCCATTAGAGAGATCCGAAGCATAGTAACTATGTGCTGAGATGCATGTTGCACAATGTTATTTTTGAATAAAATATGATTTCTTTCATAACTCATTTGTATTTCTTCATTTACTGTATTTCTGTATAATCAAGCCATCTTTCTCTGCAGAAACCTCTATGTACAGAGCATAGCCCATAAAAGCATTTCACAAAACACTACAGCATTTCAGAAAACACCACAGCATTTCAGAAAACACTACAGCATTTAAGAAAACGCCACATCCTTTCAGAAAACGCCACATTATTTCACATTGGACGGAAAGGGTATTCCTTTAGGGAGAACACTTCTTGTTTGTGATTGGACAGAGCCAGCCAGAGAAGCACTGCTGTGATTGGTTGTTTTTGCTGCCAGTCATAAAAGATGAAAGTGCTTTAGATTATGCTCAGCAGTGTGTAGTTGGGTGGTCAAAACATCTAGTATTATGAATGAAGTGTGTTATATTTGGTGCAAAAGTTTGCATTTGGTAAGTGTTTATATAGTTTTGAGTGCAGTTCTTCACTTAGCAGGAGAAATGAGGTGTTTTGCACTTTGGGTGTGTGGTTTTGTGAATTGTGTTTAGTGCAACAAGTCCTCCAACTAATACGACCAAATAGGCCGATTGTTCCGACCCATAATACGACCCACAGGAGCGTTTTCAATCAACGGGAGCGTCAGCCTGTCAACCCTGTCTCCTAAAAATTACGTTCCCACAGAACTAAACTGCATTCTCAATTACGTTTAATTAGAATTTTCTGCCACGTTACGTTTGTTATGAACGTATCTTAAATACGGTTATTTTCTACATATCTTTGCCATTTATTGTCTTGCTTATAATAATGATAATAGTAATTTAACAAATATCATTTTAGAGCACACATTTGAAATCGACAATCGGGCTCGATATATGGTTAAATTAAAATCAGTAGGCGAGGCTGTAATTTCGCCAGCTGTTACTCTCATGAGCGAGGCAGAAAATAATAGTTGTATCATGCCAAAAACCTGCTGTGTCGTTTATTGTACCTCAAACATTAAAACAAATCCAGAGTTACGTTTTTTTTTTAAGGACAGTAAAAGAAGAGTTCTGTGGCTTCAGGCTTGATCGCCGTTCAAATTACAGCGTTGGTTTCCCCAAAAGTGGGCGGGGCTGTAAAGTGACGTAGATTTTACTCTCATCTATTATTCAAAACCATTCTATTTATTCTAACGGAAATTACATGCCAGTGTTTTATCTTTTTATTTAGCGTTTTGTTTTTGCATGTTTAACTGGGAATATTATTACAGGAACAATAACGGAAACAGACGTAGGAAAGATCCTCTGCTCGGTGATTGGATTGTTTAGCCGCAATGCACGTTGGGATATGGTGTTTATGCAATCTATATGTTTGCATTTTGTATGTAAATAACAGTTTACAGACAATAATCGGCGTAGTATATATATTGTTTACAGTACTTGTTTGCCGTAAGTGTGACTGCCTGTTAAATGTTCAGTAGTTTCACTTTCTGTCCGCTGTGACTGTTGATATAATTATATTTGGTATGTACGATCGCCATATATGTCCAGTCTCGTGCTATTGCGGTGAGCTGTGTATAACTTTATGCCTCTGTCAGCCGCCATTACCGCATGTACAACTTTATCCCCCTGTAAGCCGCCATTATCACGTGTTAAAACACTTGCACCTGGGCTGGACCCGTCCAATTCCAGTTTTGTCATAGTCTGCCGTGGTTCCATTCCATTTCAAAGAGCTGTTTGACGCTCGGCGTAACCTTGTCGCACTGCCACTCCAACATCCAATCACAGGGCTTGAGGACTAATCACGGGGTTTGTAAAGCAAGGCAGATGTTGTAGTCCCAAACGATAGCTGGGGATTCTGGGTAGTGTAGTGTCTTCGGAAACTGTAGTGTCTAAACTCAGAAAAAACTATTTGTTTCTCCGAATCGAAGGTTAAAAACACAAAAGCATTGCACACAATTTAAACCAATCAATATTGTGTAATTAACAAGGATAAACTGATGTTTTTTAGTGGATGAGTAATGCAGATATCACTGTTTAATCATTTGACAGTGAGGGGAATACATCCGGTTTTATCCGGAAAAACAGTTTTCACCCCGTGAGGGTTGATGCTAACTTTACATGGAAGCTGCCGCATATACACGTTATCCTGGCGAGACCTCAAATCATCTTCGTAATATCTATCAAACTATAGATCCTACACATCGACTGGACGTGGATTCTAAGAGTACAATATACACTTCTCGCTAGAAATCGAATCAAAAAGCATTGGACCCCAGACGGAACAAGGGCTGGTGTCGATGGGACCGCCGGCGGAACATGACACGGTGTCGGCGGAACAGGTGTCGGCGGGACCCCCAACAGAACTGGACATGGTGTAGGCGGGACTCCCGGTGGGTCAGGATCTGGTGGCAGCGGGACCTCTGACTGCACAGGATTCAGAGCTGGCTGGACCTCCGACGGAACAGGTGTCGGCGGGACCCCCAACGGGTCAGGATACAGAGTTGGCAGGACCCCCAACGGAACAGAACATGGAGTTGGCAGGACCCCCGGCAGAACAGTAGTCGGCGGGACCCTCAAAGGGACAAGACAAGGGGTTGGCAGGACCCCCGGCAGAACAATAGTCGGCGGGACCCCCAACGAGTCAGGACATGGTGTTGGCAGGACCCCCAGCGAAACAGTTGTCGGCTGGACCCGCAACGGAACAGGACATGGGGTTGGCAGGACCCCCGGCAGAACAGTAGTCGGCCGGACCCCCAACGAGACAGGACATGGGGTTGACTGGACCCCCGGCAGAACAGTAGTCGGCGGGACCCCCAACGAGACAGGACATGGAGTTGGCAGGACCCCCGACGAAACAGGTGTCGGCTGGACCCATATCCTGCAGAGGAATGCAACACGCATGAAGGTAATGGCCGACCGAAACGACGTCCGTCTCCCAAGTACAAGGCTGGACAACGAGTGTGGTTGTCCACCAAGGATCTTCCTCTTCATGTCGCCTCCAGGAAGCTGGCTCCGCGGTTCGTTGGTCCTTTTCCCATATCAAAGGTGATTAATCCTGTTGCTGTCCGCCTATGTCTCCTAAAGTCCCTCAAGGTCCACCCCGCGTTTCACGTCAGCAAGCTGAAACCGGTCAAAGAGAGCAGACTGGTTCCCGCCTCCACACCCCCTCCACCTCCCCGGATCATCGACGGAGGTCAAGTCTATACAATGGAAAAAATACTGTCTAAAAGAAGGAGGGCTAGAGGTAGACAGTTCCTGGTCGACTGGTTAGGGTATGGACTAGAGGAGAGATGTTGGATCCCAGGCAGCTTCATTGTGGACAAATCATTAATTACAGACTTTGACAAACAACGGTCTCAGGCTTCAGGGACGTTAGAATCCTTCTAGTTTATTGTCTTGTGTTCATAATCTTGACTCTACCCTCTCGTTTCAGGTGTCTGTGTCACAAAGTGAATAAAGTCATTATGTTAGACAGTGGGACGGATGGTTAAACCCTTTATATAATTGTTGCATGTTACATATAGTGTTGTGATTTTAATGTTGTGCGCTATATAGCGATGAACTCTTTTTATTTGCATGCTCGTTTAACCTCCTTTTTATTTGCATGCTCGTTTAACCTCCGCAACAAACTGTCACAACAAAGACACAGACACTGCCGATTGACACACCGGCACCCAATGAAAATCAGCGATCTCATTCGCCAGTTGCCAAATCCACTCCCCCATAAATAAGCTAAATAACTACCTGCTAGACAACAGCTATTCTTCTCTTGACAGTTGCTGCCTCACCTCGCCGCAGATCGGACGGAATGGATTCCTCCTGCTCCTCCTCACCTCGCCGCAGATCGGACCGGATCGGATCCCTCCTGCTCCTCCTCACCTCGCCGCAGATCGGACCGGACCTGATCCTTTCTGCTCCTCCTCACCTCACCGCAGATCGGACCGGACCGGATCCTTCCTGCTCCTCGCCAAGAATGGACCCCTGCAGTTCCTCTTCCTGTCGGCTGGACCAGACCCTCCTCTAACCATCGGGATTCGACGCTCAAACAAACTCCAAATTAAGGGAAGTGGCTATTTCTCCTGCCTTTGGGCTTGTGGGTTTACGTCACGAAAGTTACATTGCTGTACCCTGAGTCTCCTTTTGTTTGTTTACCGAGGGCTCCGCGACCAGAGGCTGACTGACAGAGTGCGGCGGGCCGGCAAAGTGTAAATCCTGGCACTGGATTTCCTGGACGGGACTTGAACATTGAGATACACCTTCTGCCGGCTAAAAGGGAAACTGGAGTGGAGTTCGGTTCTAAGCGGACAGGACTTTCAGTATTGTATAAACCCCTGAATTATATTGTCTAAGTAACTGGTTTACATTCATTGAACGTTATTTTAACCTTACGCTATTTAAGTATTTATCAAAGGAGTGTTTTAAAGTAACCCGGGAATCTAAATCTTTTAATATAATTTTGATGTTAACAGGCCTCACTAGGCTGTTACAGCTGCACTTCCCGCCCTTGTGTGTCACCTGTCAGCCTGATTGTTGTTTCCTGCTCCTGATTGTTTCCACCTGTGCCCCATTACCTAATGTGTGTGTGTGTGTATATATAGCCCTTCTCTCCCTTTGTCTTGTGTCAGTTTGTCTTGTCTCCCTGTCGAGTCCATGTCTGTAAACAATAGTGATCTGTTGAGCAACCTAGTATAACCTAGAGATCTTGTGAGAATCCTAGTAGAACCTAGTGATCTTTTGTTTGTAGCTTTAAAAGTATTTTTATAAATAAAAGATATTTTGAAGTCAACTGAATCGTGCATCTGAGTTCCTGTGAGCCCTTCGTGTCAAACACAGATTTAAACCATTTTATAATAAAACAAATAAAACAATAATTCAACCCACTTGCTGGCTGCACAGACCAGGGCATTTGGACGTCAATCAAATCAGTTTGCTCAGTTTCACTCTTTTTCTGGGATGCCATAAAAGTCCTCACATGAGGATAATGTGCTGCACGCTTCAGCTCCTCTGATGCATTGAAAATCTTTTGGAGAAAAAATGAAATAGTTAATGTAACACACACACACACAATCTCAAATAAATAGTTAACTAACTTTATATACTCCAGATACTTCAAACTTTTTTTTGTAGTTTAGTTTTTTCTGACTTGTACTGCACATTTTTGAGAGATAGTCAGATCAGAGAGACACACAGGTGTTCACCTGGTTCGGCCTACCTGAGATAATTTCAAGAACATGTTGCTCTGCCCTCCACACAGCCAAACATTTCCAAACAGCACGTCTGTCAGAACAGCTGTGATGTTCTGCACAGCTGCTGTCACATTGTAGGGACCTCCAGCTTCAACAGGGTCTAGAGTGACCCGCCAGGTACCTGTAAAGACAGTCACCTTCAGCACCACAGTCACACACATCCATCAATCTCCCCACCGCATTGTTAATTGTCAATATTTATTTTATATTAAGCATGGACTCCCTCATTGTCATGTAACCTGAGCCAGTTTTTGAGACCAAATCATGAAATTAAATCTGTGACACTTTGTCTCTTATATTAACTCACCAGATACCTGTAAAGACAGTCAGTGACACTTAGGGCACTTCTAATTTCCAGACGGAAGAAACGTCAAAACTTTCTAAGTGTCCGGCAGTGGCTCAGTCAGTAGGGCCTTGGACTGGGAGCCGGTTCAAGTCTCTGAACTGACCTATAATATGGAGTGTGGACTAGCACTTGGAGAGGTCCCAGTTCACCTCCTGGGCCCTGCCGTGGTGCCCTTGAGCAAGGCACCGGACAACTCCCCATTTGTCCCCGGGCTCTTTGCAATATCTGCCCACTGCTCCTAGTAGACTCCTGGTACTAGTGTAACAGTTATAAATATGCAGTGGTATTTAGCATTAAATATTTCTTTCTAAACCATTTAGTATAATCACACAAATTCTGTGTTTTGTATTTAATAATTCTGTGTTCTTTATTAAACGTTCCATACCTGACTAGGTCTAGAATCAGTGGGCGGAATCTCCAGAATTTAGTCACTGTACTCAGGCGATTATTTTTGTGTGGACTTCCCCCTTCATATTGTGTCCCTCACGTTTCCTCTTCCCTTTTTTGTGTATGTTCTACGTGAGAGGAGTCACTGTGAGGGATATCTCCGCCTGTCCTCCTCCGAAAAACAACCAAATAGGTCGATTGTTCAGCAGCTTATTACGACCTATAGTCACGTTTTAAAGTTTAGCACCTCTAGTGGTCGTGTAAGAAACAACAATTTGCGGCATATGCTCCCGTTGATTGCAAACGCTCCGGAGGGTCGTATATTCACAAATAACCCTCTCTGGAAAATCCTAAATTGCAAGATAGTTTGGCCATTAAAATGCTTTTTGATTTGATTTCTAGCGAGAAGTGTATATTGTACTTTTAGAAGGGTTAGGGTTATGAATGAATGAATCCACGGCAGACTATCCAAAACTGGACTCGAACGGGTCCAGCCCAGCCCCCCCCCCCCCCAGAACTACACATGTTTGCTATTAGGCTTGATTGAGACAAGCGAGACCTGCGCAGACCTGCGCAATTGCGATCAACGTCTTGCTAGTGCGTTGCATGATGGTTAGTCATTTTGTCCGACTTGCTCAGGAGGCTCGCCTACATGAGACGTTGAAATCTCGCGGGACAAAGACGCCCGCAGACTTGACAGCGAGGCGCGGCGAGGCGGCGCAGTTTCTCTCCACGGGCTGCGGAAGCGAAATGCTTGATGGGAAACGACTCGCTGGTATCTCGAGCTGAGCGCTCATTGGTGGTTTTTACCCCGTACTGGTGATGAAACTCTCCATTGGCTCGGCAAAAGTGTGTTGTTGTTTTGTGTCAGTTTTACGTCGCCACTTCCATTCACATTTTTCATCATTGTTCCACAATGTTTATCATCATTAAATTAAAATCTTGTAGTGCCGAGAGAAGGGAGTCGGAGGCGGTGCAATGAAGGTACAAATCTGGCTTTATTGAGCAGCAGAAATGCACATGCTGTCGGGTCGCAGCCCGAGAAGAGAAGAGAAAGCGAAAGGGACACACACACAGTAGGTACCCCGGAGGTACCGTCAACATATATGTCCGTGCGGAAACAATACCCCCAATCTGTAGTTCCTGGATTGAATTATGTAACCCCGTTAATTAGTGATCACTACACAAGCCCCCCCAGAATTCAACCATGGACACAATCCTCGCGTCCGGGAGGAAGCACCACAGGGGCCGAGGAGGGCGGGGCCGCCGGCGAGGGCCGGGCCATGGAACGGGCCGTCGGAAGGGGGCCGCAGGAGAGGGTAGGGGCCCCAACGAGGGCGAGGGCATCCCCACCGGAGGGTGGGCGACGTCCGAAACCGCCGAGGCGAGGGAAGAGGCGAGACGGGGTCCAGAAGCGCGCCACCCACGGGCCGAAGCAGGCATGGGTGACGTCCGAAGCCGCCGTCGAGGTGGCGAAAAAGCGAGAGGGTCCACACGAGGCCGACCAGACACGGTCGAACCTCCTCTCAGGCACCAGAAAAAAACTCAAAGAGTCGTCCTGTCCACGAAGAAAAACAGGTGGGCGAAATAGCGAGAGGATCCACACGAGGCCGACCAGACATGATCGAACCCCCTCTCCGGCACCACAAAAAAAACAGTCGGATGTGGCTAGCTGTCGTTAGCCGCTGGTAGCTGCTAGCCGTCAGCTGCCGTGGCTAGTGAAGTAAAAAGATATGATTCTAAACTGTATTGAAGTGAACATGTATTGTTTGAACTGTTTTAAGTAATCCCATATATAATGTCTTCTCACTTACAACTCACTGACCCAGAGATCCTGTTACACACACACACAGCTCCTTTTCACCAGAGCGCACACACATGTTCTTTTCAAGGTTCTTTCTGGGTATCAGTATGTTCTTTCTTGGCTCATTATATCTGTATACAATGTTTAATTGTCTGAGAGTAACAGTTTATGTGAAAGATGCCATGGGAAAATAAGGGAGTGAATACCGGTGCAGAGATAAGATTGACTTTGACCTTGTGGAACTTTAGAATCTCACGTTCTGGTCAGAACTCTGATTCGCTGTATTGAACCCGGCCAGAGGTGGATCCAACCAGTAAGGACACCTGGGGGAGTGAGCAGCTCACACAGCTCCTCCCCACGGACTCTCTGATTCGCTTCGGAGTAAAATGGGAAGGAAGAGTCGACACTTCTCCGCCCCAAAACATGGATATAAATTCTGTTGTTTTTGTATGTAAAAATACTTCTTGTTTGATGAGTTGGCTGGTCCCGATACTTGTATCCGCATCGCATCACAAACCTGAAGTCCGGAGTACTCTGTAAAACTAGTATACGTGTTTTGTTTCCTACCAGTAAACTCAGATAATTGTTATAACTTTTGATTCCGGTGTTTTCAATTCCTTTCTTTATTAAATAGAGATCAGCCTCATCCAACGAACGGTGCGCAGCAGAGGGGGGGCTCTCAGCCACCCTAATAGGTGTTCTGCTCCAACACTAGCTGTCGTTAGCCGTTGGTAGCGGCCAGCTGTGAGCAGTCGTGGCTAGCCGTTCTCGACGGCCGGTAGCCGCTGTCGTCGTCGTCGGGGGCATCGTCGTGTATCGGCCCCTCGGAAGGCTCGCTGTCCCCCAGTGCCGAAAAGCCGTGGAAATGGCGAGTGTCGTCCGCGGCCATTCCGGAGGGCGCACCGAGCCACAGTCTGCGCACACGTGGCAGCCACGGACGTCTCCAAAAATCTCCAGCATTTCGAGAAAAACAGTATGTTTTTTGCCGTGTTCGATTCAGTCTCGGAACCTTCGCAAGACTTATGTCAGGGTCACCAATGTAGTGCCGAGAGAAGGGAGTCGGAGCCGGTGCAATGAAGGTACAAATCTGGCTTTATTGAGCAGCAGAAATGCACATGCTGTCGGGTCGCAGCCCGAGAAGAGAAGAGAAAGCGAAAGGGACACACACAGGGTGTTTCTCAATCGCGAGTACGCTTGCTTGGTAGCACATGTCTGCCGAGCATCTTGCTTCAGAAGCGAGTCAAGAATACTTCCTGGCATTCGGAAAACGAAGTGTGGAACACGCTAGCAAGTGTGCAGGTGTGCGTCATATGAGAGGCCCCGCCTTACATCTTCCGCCACAGATTTGGGGAAATTGGTCCGTGCGCAAAGCATTGTGGGGATTTTAAGACCGCGAAGTCTACTCATGTGCAGACTCGATATTTCTCCAAACGGAGTACGCCGGGCTCGGTAGATTTCCAAGTATACTGGAGATTGGAACAGTACTTCGGCAGCACTCGATGACGTAGTATGCTTGAAATAGTGGCTCTGAAGCAGCTTTACTCGCGATTGAGAAACACCCACACAGTAGGTACCCCGGAGGTACCGTCAACATATATGCCCGTGCGGAAACAATACCCCCAACCTGTAGTTCCTGGATTGAATTATGTAACCCCGTTAATTAGTGATCACTACAATCTATATATTTTATACTATACTTGCACTGCTTACCGTTGTCATACTTTATATATCTTAGCATATTCATACAACACACTGTTCATACTAGGCTAGGCTACTGTGCATATCTACTGTATTCATACCCCTCACTGTTTTTTCATCATTCAATTCATTCTATATTTTATTCTGTAGATTGTGTACATTACTTTTCACTTTACTGCTTTATGCACTCCTGGTTAGAAGCTAAACTGCATTTCGTTGTCTCAGTACCTGTAATCTGTGCAATAACAATAAAGTTGAATCTAATCTCGAGCAGGAACAAATGTATTTACTTAGTACATATCTGACATTAACGATTAAACACATTTGTGCATTCTTTATAAATGCAAACCGAGTCAAGCCGACTCCGGAGGTGGCGGTATGCACCTTAAAGTTGTTTGCAATCCGCCAAAAAAACGAGAGAAGAAGAAGAAGAGGAAGAAGCCGACTCCGAGCTGTCCGACTTCAGGCGAGCTTTTTGAGACCTCCCCCGGCTGCGATCGGCTATTCTCGTCTACTTTCGAGGCGAGCCGCAGCTCGTCTCAAACAAGCCTAATGTGTTTCGCAACATCTTCTATGGCACGTCTCTACTGGGAATTGTAGTTTTAAAAGATGTTTTCGTATTTCCCATAATTAGAAGTTGCCAGTATTAAACTGTGTACATCCCTGGAGGTTTAGGGGATACGAAACACATTGGTGTTATCAAATTTAAAACATATAATTAATAAATGGGTGAAAATCGCTTGTGTCCATAATGGGCAGCATTAATATATACCCACATGACAGCTAAGGTCAGAAGAGCTTTATTTAATAGCTGGTCTTATGTCTGTGACCCCTCCTGTTGTTAATTGATAAGCCTGAAACATGCGCTTGTCAAGGTTCAGAGGCAAATTTTGCAAATATGGCAGTAGCCATCGATCATCTTAAGATAAGATAAGATAATATATACTTTATTGATCCCAAGTTGGGAAATGTTTTTGTTACAGCAGCATGTACAACATGCAATTTATTGTTACTTTGTAAT